TTGGATAGTGATAAGGCTCCTTATTGATATTGTAATGGTAAAGAAGGGGAAGAACACTACCTTACAAATTACCCTCAGCCGTGGGGAAGTTTTGGGACTACATATTCTTGCTGTTATGCTTGTGGAAAAAAGATTAAAAAAATAACCGAATTTGGAGATGAAAAACAATTAGATTGTGTTTGTAGCAAAAATAATAATAACTCCATAGAGAGAGAGAGAGAGAGAGAGAGAGAGAGAGCATTTTGAACTATTTCAAGCAACATAATATAAAATCAGCAAAATTAGAAGGTGATAAACTAATAATCGAGTATAATAATCAGCAAAAAGAAACCAAAGAAATAGACGACCAAGAATTAGAGCAGATTAAATCTTATTCCCAAAAAATAGGCAAAAGTGAACTTTCTTTATCAGATTTAGAGCAAGTAAGTAATAATCAGTCTAATTCTCCTAAAAGCAACAAAACCCTTTATATTGGTTTAGCAGTAGCAGGAATATTAGTCATAGGAATAATTGCTTACTTCTTATTGAGAAATAAAAAAGAAAAATAATGTTTGGGGCTGAAAAATTACTACTAAAATTACTAGAAAAGGCAACTAGTTATAGTGCTATTCAAACTGTCTTTTGATTTTTCTTTCTGTTTCATTTGGCTACTACTTTTTTATTAGGATGAATTATTTATCGAATATTAGGGCAAAAAAATAGGGATTTATTAAGTTGATTATTGCCGGTTATTTCTTCAAGCATAGTATTGTTTGTTCCTTTTGGTTCAGGTGGTTGGCTTTCCGATGGAATTATAGAGGGATGAGGGGTTCCTCTAACTTTTATGAAGTTTTTGGCTTTTTCTAACCTATTATTAATCATTATTAGCCTTGTTCTCTATTTTGCTTATAAATCTGAGGAGAAAACCGAAAAGGAAGAGTTTTTACTTTAATTTTGGCATTCTTTACATTTTAATCAAAGTCCTCAGGTCTTTCTCCATCATCGTCCCCGGGGTCTCTATCTCCTTTATCGGGGGTAGTATCAGGGTCGATTGGTTTATCAGGATCGGTGTCAGGAGTAGGCTCGGGTTCGGGTATCTCTGGCTCGGGGATATCAGGTTCGGGGAACTCATCAGGGTCAATATCAGGGGTAATGTCAGGCTCTAAGGGAGTTATTTCGGGTTCTCCTCCTCCTGGGTCTATATCAGGAGTAGGCATATCAGGTTCGGGTTCCACACCATCGGCTCCTGGTTCAGGTTCGGGGAATTCAGGGTCAGTTAAAGGGATTTCAATTTCTCCACTTCCTCCAATCGGAATAAAGGGGTCAATGTTTTTAAAGTTATCCTGTCCTGGTTGTTTTTGCCACTCAATTTTGGTTGAAGCTTCATCAGTCAAATCCCAAGTAATCGTAGTTTCATTAGGAATATAGCCATAGGCTTTTACAAAAGGCTTGCCATCAGGTCGTTGTTGAGTGGCTTTTTCTCAAACATCACCACTACTTCCTAATCTACCTGCCTTTCCATTCACAGTTAAATGATAGTTGGGAGGAGTTGCTGAACTCATAGCACTATATCAAGGTTCAAATGGTAAACCTGTATAAATATTCTCTAAATTTCCCCCACTATGATAACTACTATTCAAAGTTTTAAATAAAGGAGTATCTTTGGCTCCACAACCGATACAAGTATAAATATCCACCATTTTTTTAACTGGTTTATCAAACTCTAAAATAAAGGCTCCGTGAGTATGTCCTTTGGGTAAATCTTTGGCAATATCCCCTTTGGGATACATAGCTAATCAATGTTCGGTGGTTCCATCCTCATAAAAGATAAAATAATGTCCTCGTTGGTGATAAGGTGAGCCTTTGGGACGATTTACTGGAACGGTGGATGGTTCTCCTCCTTCGGTAATGGCTTGACCGGTATAAACATCACCAAAACCACCCAAACTATTACACTACTCATAACTCATGTCATACTTCAAGCATAAGTAATATGAAATTATTTTATTGATTGCTATCCTTACCACCCCTTTCCATTTATCCCATCAATAGCCTTTTGAGCTTCGGCAACTCTGTAATCCTGATAATCTTTTCATTCCTCTTTCAGTTTTTCTAAATCTTTTTCCATTTTTGTTAGTCTTTCTTCAGTAGTGGGAGCTTTTAAGTCTTTAATATCCATATGAATATTTTACTTGTTTTATACAATTTACAGAGAATTAGTTTATTCTCTTTCTTTGTTTTTATCTTCCTCATCCCCCAGAAGTTTAATCAGATAGTAAACTCCTAGTCCTAGGAATAATAATCCTAGAACAGCAACCGCAATATGTAAATAGTGAACTATCTGCATAACTCTCACAAGATTACTAAAATCTTTTCCGACAAAAAGTCATACTATATTTGCTGAAAAAAATCATACCACAGGCATTACCACTAATGCCAGAACGAAAAAAACGATTGTTTTAGTTAAATATTTCTTATTCATATTATTTTGCTTTTTTTTTATTTCTAGTAAGTAGGAAAATAATTCCCCCTCCTATTACTAATATTCCAATAATTATCAAAAAAATCATCCCTCCGCTCATTCCTTTTCCTTTATCCGAACCATCCTCACTTAAAGTTCCATATCTACTCTGATAAGCACTTTCAGCATTTCGTAAAGTATTTTGTTGTAAGTTTCTTAAATAATCAGCTTGTTGTCTTTCTTGTGGTGTAAGATTTTGGTTATTTAGTCTTTGTTCTAATGACCGAGCATACTCTCTCCAAAATAAAACTTCCCTTTTTAAACCCTCTTTTTCTCAATCAGTATTTTGATTAAGGTTAGTTTCCACATCCAGTTCAGGAGGCATCATTTCAACTTGGGTTAATCTTTGGGCTTCTTCTCATTTGAGTTCTCGGTAAGTCACATGACACAAAGGAGAACAGAAAGCCAACTTTACTTCATAATCTAACATCCAGCCTTTTGCCATGTCAGGGAATTCGGTCTTTTTACATTGCGGACAAGTTTGCTGATTTTCCTGCTTATATCTTTCAATACAACCGCAATTTAAACCAAATCATTGGGAACTTTCACGAGTAAAGTCAACTTTATGTTTAATGTATCTTCTTCTTTTAATAGTGTAAGAAGTTTTATCTCGGTGAACTATACAAGAGGCACCACATCTTTCACAGAGTTCATCAGGTTTTAGATTAGGATCCTTATCAGGTTTTTCATCAGGTTTATCCTTGTCGTTAGGCTTCTTTTGAGGAATATCAGTTGGTTTATCTCTATAACATCCATCTCACTTCTTATGATTTTCACAATATTTAACTATTCCTCCTCCATCACTATTTCCATTTTTAAACTTTGTATATGTTTTTTCGGTTATTTGTTCATTGGTATTCCGATAATTAGTTTCCTCTTTTAAAAAGCAACCTTTACACAATTCTTTACCTTTGACTTCGTAATACTTACTGCTTCCTCACAAAACTTCTGCATTAGGATATTGCTTTTTCAAATATTCTTCTGCTTTTTTGCTTTCTCTTTTTTTAAATAGTGAGGCATTACACTTCTCACATTTTCGGTTAAGAGGATCATTTTGTTGTTCTTTTCAAGCATTATTTTCTTTTCTGAAATCAGCAACACAGTTTTGATGTAAGGGAACTCTGACATTGGATTGTTGATTTCTGCCATCTGTTCCTACGCTCACTGAACCAGTGAAAGTTATTTCAGTGTATGTTCCTTTTAAAGGTTGAAAACAGTGCGAACATTCTTTGGATGGGGTTAGGGTTTTATCTAAACAAGCACCACACCATCCATCATATTTTTTAATGAATACAGGTTGTTCATTCTCTTGTCCGCAATTTTTACACTTTGGATATTTATTTCCTCCTACCATTAGCCGATAATTTTATAAGACTTCACCACTAAATGGCAGTGAGGAATATTTTGCTTATTTTTATTGAAGAGACTAGATTTGCTCTCTCTCTCTCTCTCTCTCTATGGAGGGATTGAGACTTCTACTAATTATAATTTCTTTACTTCTTTTCATATTCATACTATATTATATATTTTTCATTCAGAGTATTCAAGGGGGTTCAATATTATTCACCAATTTTGAAAGTAATATAACATATATTACCAACCTAAATCACACCCTTAAAATTAAGATATAGATGATGGATGCTAAAGGAGTAGATGATATTATTTAAATTAATGACATTGTAATGTCATTTAAGGTAGAATAGAATATATATGCAAAGAATAATTAAATGTGATAGGTGCTACCAAGACTTCGCCCAAAAATGGGTTTCGGCTAAAAAACACTGAAGTCAAATCAATGAAATAAAATATTGAACTGGTGGCAAAGATTGAAAGGGCAAGAATTTCTTTTGCCGCTCATGTCTTAAGAACTGGTATGAGTTAGATAGGGAAAATTTTGACAAATTAGTAGATGATGAAAATAAACGAAATATGTTTTTTTCCTATCGCGGTCATGGTGCTTTTGATAAACCTGACAAAGTAAATAAATAAGAAATCCTAAAGTAGAGTGGTGAGTTTATTGCTTTTTTTGCTTGTCATTAAAATAATATATATATGTCAAGCAAGGTAGAAATAACAAAACTTCATAAAAGACCTTACCCTTTCTGTTGTCTTTATAAAGAGACTGGTTATGGAGTAATAGTTAAAGTTTTCTTTGAAGTAGAATTTAAGCATTGTATCGTATGTGATAGGTGTATTACCCATTATTCAGGTGTAAAATATTACACTTGTTCGGACAAATGTTTTATTATTGCTTACTTTCCTTGGATTTCTTGGGAAATGCCGAAACTGGGATGGTATAATTATTCTCTATCCAATTTTTAACTAAAGTGCCACAATGCGGGCATTTGGAAATATCAGTTTTGTTATTCTCCATCCAAGCAATTAAAATGCTTCTCTCTTGTTGATTAAGATATATTGTGCCATGATTTACTCGTGCTGTTTTCTTTATCTCGCTAACCATAGTAGGATATTCTCGACAGCATTTATTATTAATTTTTACTCCTATCATAATTAATCATTTTTACTTAAAAATATATGAAACTCAATTATAATTCTGAAATAGAGATAACTCCAAACAAATTTATCCCTGAAAATTTTGTTCCCAATCCAATAAATTTATCAATTAGTCCTAGTCATTTATATGAACTACATAAAAAATACAGTTGAAAGGAAATAGCTGATATTTACCAAAGAAGTGAGCGGACAATTTATCGCTGACTTGATCCTGAAATCAAATCCAAACAAAAAGAAGGACGCAAGTTTAAAGTTAGCGAAGAAGATAGGAAGTTCTTGGCTGAATATGCCAAAGAAGAAAATAATACTTCTACACAACAATCCATGGCGGATTATGTTTTTCAAGAAAGAGGTATTTCCATTAGTCAGCAAACTGTCTCACGAATACTAAAAGAACAAGGAGTCACTTATAAAACTCTAACTTACCATTATCAACAAATCGTAAGCCAACAAGAAATTAACTATTTTATTGATAGAACTAGAAATTTACCACCCTATCAACTTCTAGCTTTGGATGAATGTGGTTTTCATTTAAACGAGGATCCAAGAAGAGGTTATTCATTAAAAGGAACTAGGGCAATTTCCCAAAGACCAAGTAGCAAGGGCGAACACTATACCTTGCTCTTATGTATTGGTAATACCGAAAAAGATGGGGTAGTTCATTATCAGTTAATTAAAGGTGGTGCTAAAGTTGAAAACTTTTATAATTTTTTAGAGGGGATTAACCTAACTAATGACTGAAAATATTATCTTTTGTTAGACAATGCTCGTATCCATCATGCTAAAAAGAAATGTATAGACTTGGGATTGCTTCCTATTAAGGAATTATTAATAAGTAGAAACATCCAACCAGTTTATTTTCCTCCTTATACTCCACAATTGAACCCAACTGAATTGTGTTTTAACTTTATTAGGAATTATATTGAGAGGAGAAGACCAAGAACTTTTGAAGAATTAAAATCACTTATAGATGAGGCAATGGAAGAACTAAATAAAAAAGATTTAAGAGAATATTTTAAACACTGTTGAGATTACTTTAAAAAAATTAAGAATACTGACACGAGTTGTGAGTAGCGTAATATAAAGGGCAGTGCTGGATTGCCGACCAACCCCTAAATTAGGGTCAGGGAAATCTTTCTCTTTTTCTTCATAAAAA